CGCGTAGCATAGACAAAGGCCCCAGTGAGGGGCAAGAGCGTAGGAAGCGCGTGGCATAGGCCCTGGGGGGGGGCCAGCCAGTAAGAGTGAAGCCTGGGGAGGGCTAGCGGAAGTTTGAGACACGAGAACATCAGGAACAGCTGCGAGGCTTGGGGCGTGCTAAAGGGGAGGTAGGAGGCACGCATAGCCCATAAGGCTGGGGGTGCACCAAGTCACCCTTAAAAAGCAGGAGATCATAGGCAGCCTCCCATATTACCTTAAATAAGAACAAAGACGTGGCGGGCGAGAATCCAAGGGTGCTAGATCTCTTAATTGCCACGGAAAGGGGGCACTAGCGAGATCACGGCCGCTCGCAGGCCCCACTCCGTGACATTTAAATACCATCCGCTGTTTTATTACGAAGTTTAATGATGAATGTGGGTGCTACATTCAGTTTGTGACCAACCTGGGGTCATTGTCAGTGCCTGTTTTATGTTGACTGCTACCTTTTTTTTGAAGTCACTGGGACCCATTTTTTCAATGTTTAGTGAGTATATTTATCAAATGCTAATCCAAAATCAAGTTTTGCTTTCTTTTGTTGACCTAGATAAATATTCAAGGCATTTGCTGCCTAAAAGTTATGGAAGGCAGGGCTGCAAATTTAGCAATCATAATTAAAGAAAATAACGAATGGGCAATACTGGCTGCATTCTAGAAAAAATCAATCTTGCTTGAAAAAGAATACAATGCTATTAATTGGTGGTTGTATTTTATAAAGGTTGTTAGGCTGACAGTAATAGATAGTACCTTGAGTACAGAAAAAAAACATTGATTAAATCACAACTTATACTAGCAGACAAACTTCTGAATTTCATACTTGTCAAGAAGGCTCCAGTGCTTGTTTGTTTGCCTTTGTTTTGTTTTGTTTTTAGGCCTGAATGAAAAGCTAGGATTTCGCAAACGAGTCTTTCATTTAAAGTGAATGTAGACTGGGAAACAATTTTGTCAGAAGTAGGTATGCCTCTTAAATAAAAGCTGGGAATGCATTTTGATAAAAATGTAAAAGGAGGAATTCTTTGCTAAGGAATGGGGCACACCAGAATCACTTTTCTTGAAGGGTGAACCTTGCCTCTCAAGATTTGGTGTATACAGCTAAGTTACGTGGTTTTCTGTAAGTGGCGTAGTTTAGATTGGTAGTGAACAGAGCACACATTTACCCCTTGTGGGGGAAGTGGTGGAGGGAAATCTTAGACTGGATTCTGCCATTTTGAAACCAGTTTCTGTGTGCCAGACTTCTGTTCTAAACAGGTATAGACAAGTGTTCGATCACTTTTACCAGTAAAAGTGTAACATCTATACTTGGCTTTCAAGGTAAAGGACATTGCCTAGAAAAAACAACATTTATATTGTAATTTTTAGTGTCATGTGATGCTGCAATCTGGGAAAGTTGTAATTCTTAAAATACTATTATAACAGCCTAGGTCTATAAGTATATTGATACTACCATATATTTACTAAAATATAACATGTTTCCCTCCCCCACCACCATCAGCATGGGGAAAAGAGTCCTTCATCTTATTTGCATACAAAGTGAGGACTTTGGGGGAGGTTTAATTGTAGCTGTTTCAATTTTGACTCTGATCCTTAGCCCACAGCATCTTCTTTCTCCCACTCTGCTTCCCCTCTGTAGTTTTCAAACCCCACCCCTTTTCTTCCCCCTTGTGAAGCTCAGCTCAGCTCCAGCTCAGGCTGGAGTCTCTCCCAGACACACAGCATGTGGAAACTCCTTCTCCTGCATGGCTGATCATCAGTACTGACACTGCTGCATGGGCAGGCAGGGGCTGAGATAACCTGTGCTCTGCTCCAGGATGGAGCAGCCCAAGTAGCATCTGACAGCAAGGTGGGGAAGGGTAAGAGACAGAGGCTGGAGAATGAGGAGGAGGAGAAGCAGAGTGGGGTGTTGTAGGGAAAGGGGCAGAGACTGGGGGAGAAGAGGGGAAGGGTCAGAGTTTAGAGAGTTGCGGGAAGAGGCAGAGACTGGGTAGCAGAGGGAGAGAAGGTAGGGACTAGAGGGAGTGGCAGTGAGGAGCAGAGATTGTGAGCTGGGAGCAGGGGTTATGGGTGGCAGGGTGGTCAGGAAGGCTTTGGAGGGAAGATGTGGGTGGGGCAGAGGACAAGGGGGCACCTGACCCCACCCCCAGCCACTGCTTTCCCTACTGTAACAATGCATGGGGGGATTCAAGACAACTGTCCAATATTTAGATTCCATACCTGGAAAATTATAACAAAATTTATACATTTTCCATACATAGAATCTAATTCTTGGGTGGGTTGTCTTATATTCAGGGTTGTCTTATATTCAAGTAAACACAGTAATACCAACATCCTCTCTTCTCCTTTTTCTCTTTTTTCTGCATTTAAAAAGATGTACCTATGTAGTGCCTAAAACTCAAGCAGTTTTCCAAACACTATAATTTTTAGCTTATCTACTACATTTGGTTCAAAACACTGATTGAATACTGACAACAAAATGTATCTCATCCTCAACAGCTAGACTGCAAGGTATTATCCAGTGCCAATTTATGGTGCTATAACTCCCACAGTACAGTTTTTGCAGTGTTGTTATATTAATATGTAGAGTCTGTCACATTGTGGAGCAGATAGCTGTTGAATGTGTCTTTTAGAAAGTCTGGTTTGGATCATTAATGCTTCCTATTACTGTCATATCACTCTGTTGGCCCAGTAACAGTAAGGTGACCTAGAATCTGGGCCTTTCACCATCTATGTGTTATCTTTATGTCAATAGCACTATAGCCCAAATTGCCTCATTATCTCTTGAATTAGTCTTGCATATGTGTGGAGCAGAAACAAGGACAGTAAAAACCTTATAGAAACTTGCAAGACAGTTTCTCCAGAACAAAACATAAAATCCTCTGGGATCTTTCTGGAAGAAAAAATAGAACTAACCTGCTGACTCTCCCCACTTAAAGAGAGGCCATACAGCTTTGTCCATAAAACCGCAGTGTCTATAACATCCTGTGTTGCTGGTGTATTTAAAAGCAGCAATATAGACACCAGCCCTTCACACATCAGTAAGAAGTTCAACCATCCAATAAACTAAGGTAGTATCTATGTAGTAAGTGATTTTGAAATCAGATTG